AAAGGAAATCCTCGTCATATACAAATACAAACAGTCGTATACAGATACAAATCACACAAAGAATTGTCAGCTACGAATTATACAAATGTGGCGAATTATACATATACAAACGTGACTAATTATACAAACTTGAAGTCAGCCCACGTAATTAATGTATAATGGTAGTCGCGAGTGGTAATTATAGCAAACTATAGCTATGATGAGTAATTAAGTAGTATAAATTGCTTAACCATGTAATTTTCCCTTTTTTTTAATCTATATTTTCAAACAATTAGGTATTTTAATTTTACCACTCATTAAGAGAGTCCTACCAAGTATCATATATTGAGGAAGATACACCTAGATACATACATTTTTGCTACTAGATACACTAATTTTTTTATCTATATTTTCAAATAATTATGTATTTTAATTTTACCACTCATTAAGAGTTTCCTATCAAGTATCATAAATATTGAGGAAGATACACCTAAATACATGCATTTTTGCTACCATATATACTAAAATAAGGAGAGAGGCGAGCGAGAAGGGGAGGGAGGCAAGCGAGATAGTCATGTATATATCATGTATTTTTATATATCTGGTGTGATTCACATGTATGTGGGATACCGATACATAGAAAGTAGTGAGCGAGATGACAGAGAGGCAAACGAGATTTGTTATGTATCTCAGAAACATGCGAATCCAATTGGATACAGCATATCTAGAACCATTTACATCTAATTCTAAACCAATGTATCCCAACATAGATATATTTGGACGTACCAAAATCTGATAAGATTTGTAATCTAACAAACTAAAGTGTATCTAAATTAATTACTCCTAAACTAATGAAATTTTGATAAATTTTCCAAAATAAAATACTTTTTTTTTGTCATTTTCTCCTCAATGGGTTAACAATCTAACACCAAACTTCCATGATATGTCGTGAATCATGTTCTGTAATATTTATAATAACCTTTGCTGCAGCTAATTGAAATCTATATAAACACAATTAACTTGTAATCATTTTATCACCACTTTCTTTTCAAAATCTTTTGTTATACTTAAAAAATAAATAAATATGGGTGTGAAAGGCAAGTTGATTGCTTCAGTAGAAGTGAAGTGTGGAGGACACTTGGTTCATGATATTTTTCACACCAAAACTCATCACATATCCAACATATGCCCTAGCAAGATCCAAAGTTTTGAAATTCATGAAGGTGAAACTGTAAAAGTTGGTTCAGTCGTTAACTGGAAATATAATGACGGTAATATATACACATTATTCCTTTTTCTACTTATGAATCATTTTTCTTTTTATATATTTAGGTGTGTTTGATGGTACTGAGAAAGTTCATTTCCAATTGAATATTTTTCATAAAAAAGTTTTTTAATGGTGTTTAGTTACCATAAGGTAAACATTTTACTCTAAAATGGGAAAATAACTTCTTTCATTTGAGGGGAAAGTCATTTTTTCATATAAGTGTCTTAATTTTTAAGATCATATTATTTGTTCCCAAAATTTATGTACTTATAAGTTTCAACGGGTAATATTATTATAAGCAATATTATTATTTTTTTACCGGAGCTCCCATCCGTTTTGTTCCCTTGGTGACTCGAACTCGCAATCTTCGGGTTGGAAATGAGAGGTGCTTACCATCCGAGCAACTCCCTCTCGTCATTATACGCAATATAGATATGTGCAAAATCGAAAAAAATATTATTAAAAGAGTAATCAAGTTCTGAACCCACATTTGCAAAGTGTAACGAGTATTAGTTGTATAAATATAAACGTTGAACCAATCAAATTTAAATCATTAATGATCTGTTTTTGTTTGCTCCAAATATTTTGACATTATTAATCTTTAGTAATAAAAATATTTATCAGAACACCTTCCAATTTTCTGAAGAAATGATTTAACTTTAGCTTGTACTTTTCATAAAATATTTTCTCATCATCAATCAAATATTGTGAGACATTATACAAACATTTTACAGATTTCATTGGAGAAAATGAAAAACAAAGAAAAACCTATAAAACGATCGAGCTAAAAATATGTAATTGTGAATGTTCAACTTGAAGTTATTTATTATCATCTCTTATATTTTTTATTTTATTGATTATAGATGGAAAAGATAAGATTTCAAAGCAAGTGATTGAAGCTGTCGATCCTCAAACTAAAACAATCACTTGGAAAGTGATTGGTGGAGATCTGTTAGAGTTGTACAATTCCTTTACTATTATCACATCATGTGACCACCAATGGACTACATGGACATTTCTGTATGAGAAGAAAACTGAAGACATACCAGAGCCTCTTGTTCTCTTGGGTTTTGTCCTTCCCCTGACAAAAGATATTGAGGGTCACCTTCTCAAGTAATAAAACATCAATGCTACTAAATGGCTCATAGCCCTATTTATACATATGCAAAATATATATATGTATGTTTACACACAAATATATATGTGTGTCTTTGTGTGATATTGACTAGCTAGTTCTATCTAGCTAGCTAGTGTGTGAAATAAATAATATTGTGTTTGAAGAATATATTACATATGTTCCTCTCGTTCTAGAGATGTATTTTTAATGTTTAATATATGTAAAATATTATTAAAATTTACCTATAACAAAAATGATATATTTAATAGTGTGCTTTACTTATATTCTCATTCTTTTGTAGTCAATTCCTTTTTAGGTTTCTCTAGTTTTAAGACGGGCTATAAATTTTAAACCTTTAATTACACTTTGGTTTCTACTTTGCAAAAATAGCCATTGGGCCAACTAAAAAATCTGGAAAGTGGAGCCCTAAACACCTCCAAACTTCCTAAAAATATTTTAAACTCCAAAGTTAAAATAAAATAAAATACATTTTCATTCATTTTTTATCTATAAATACTTTCTAAATTTCATCATTTTTTCTACAACATTAATGTCCTTATTATCTCTCAATTTTCTCTTTAAGTCTTAATTTCTCTAGCAATCTCTTATTATTCTTGCAATTAACAACATAAAATAAAAGTTTTCAACTTTGGTACATCATCGTTCCATCACTTATTTATTTAGTATATTACTTCTTAAATATTTAATTATTTTTATTTTTTAAAATTTAATTTGCACGATGGATAAAATAAGAAAAGTAAGTATAAGTGTTAAAATTTGTATCTCGAAGATAGTAGTGGTAGTAAGAAAACAAACGGTTCTGATAGAGATGTCAAGACATGCCCAAAGGTGCCAAACAGACCTTTGACATGTTTAATTTAAGTACTACATCACCACTTTTATTGGCTTAAAGAGATATTCTAAATTATCTTCAAAATCAAGAGAATATTTTGATAGAATTTCTTAACATGAACAAGACTGTGTACCTGTTAATAATGACAGAATATTGATAGTCTTGTTAAAGAATTACTCTATGTCTGACTTTGAATTTCAAAGAATCAAAGTTATATTACTACAAGCTAAATGTCTCTTTGTGTTGATATTAATAGGGAAAAGTATAGATTTAAGTGGAATATCGACCTCATGAGGTCTCTTTTTAGCGACCTATTTTGGAGGTCTCTGTTTATCACTATTTGTAAAGAGAGATTAAGCAGTTACTTGGTATATGTTCCCTCTTTTTTTGAGATTGAGATAAGATGTAATCTCAATCCATTTTTTCTTAGTAAAATTATGGGTCGTATCAATCCACATGGATGACCCAAAAAATACTTACGTATTTTATTTAATTAATCTCCTTCACAAAATTAACTTAAGATTCAGATAAATTGACTTATGCCATATTTCTTTCTTTTTTATTTCTCTAGTTTTTTATTCTTTGAAACATTTCACTATTTTAAATTTAATTTCTTTTGAGTTGTAAACCTTATCTTCAACATATTTTTTTAAAAAAATTATAAGTTTTTTATTTTTTTTATTTTTTATTATAAGTTGAGTGGTTGAAGTTTCATGTTGATGGACAACTAACACTAATCTTCCATGATATGTTGTGCCTCTCGTGGATCATGTTTTATAAGTATATATGTAGGAGATGTTTGATTATGATTATTTTTTAAAAGTTGAACTCTAAGAAATATGTTTAATCATAAAATTTTAAAATTAGAATTTTTAAGAACTTAAAAAAATAATTAAAAGTTGTATTAACTTTTTACACTTTAAATTACCGACAGAAGATAAAAAAAAAAAATTCTAATTTGAATTTATGAAACAAATACAATTATACAACTTTTATTTTCAAATATTATATTTTACTTTAAAAATAATAAAATATTTGTTACCATAAAACATAATCCAACATCCATTTATAATAGATTTCGGTACAACCAATTGAAAGAGAACACAATTTTATTTTAATAGGAATTGAGGTCATTTAGAAAACAATATTGGCATATTATTTCTGGAAATAAAAACTTTGGCTGGCTAGGAAAAAAAATATTTGTTGGCATATCATTTCTAGACGTTAGAAAAACTTTGATCGACTTAAAAGGGGGTATTTGTTGGCATATTATTATTTATGACGTGAGACAGAGTCACTAGACAACCTTGCATTGATGTCAATATTTTTAGACTATAGTTTCTAACTATTTTATTACCACTTTCTCAATTATCAAAACTTTTTGCTAAATCGAAAATTGGTTCAATTGTTAACTGGACATATAATGACGATAACATATACATATTTTCCTCTCTCTAGATATGAATCATTTTCGAACTGATTACTTGAAATGTGAGTTTCATTAAATAGCTTTTTTCCCATTAAACTTAATAATTAAAGCTTGATAAATATTTGAGGAAGACAATTCTAACTTTTGACAAATATAAAACATCAAAACTGCCCAAATAATGCTTAAGAGACTCTTTTAAACCTAACCTAAACTTCTATGATATGTCGTGGATCATGTTTTATAATATTTATATAATAACATTTGGTGTAGCTAATTGAAATCTATATAAGGACTACCATTTCTAATAATTTTATCACCACTTTCTTTCAAAACTTTTTGTTAAGCCAAAAAAAATATGGGTCTGAAGGGTAAGTTGATTTCTTCAGTAGAGGTGAAGTGTGGAGGACATTTGGTTCACGATATTTTTCATGCCAAAACTCATCATATATCCAACATAAGCCCTAGCAAGGTCAAAAATTTTGAGATTCATGAAGGTGAAACTGTATGTAACACCCCGTATCCGAAACAGACCAAAAAATGCAGATTTTGAGAAGTTGCAGGTGCAACCCACGGTTGCCATCTACGGACCGTAGGTCAGACCACGGTCCGTGCTGGTGGTCCGTGGTTCGCCACTGCAACCCCTCCCCAGCCAGCTCAGAAAATTGGTTAAGTCTCGACTCACAGACAGACCCATGGTCCGTAGATCAGACCACGGTCCGTGGTCTGTGTCCGTGGATCAAGACCTCCTTTACCCAGCCTCTGACATGAACTACGGTTGACCAGCACGGACCGTCGTTCGATCCACGGTCCGTAGGTCTGACCGTAGATCGAAGGATAGCAGCCAGTTAGCTGAAAATTCTGATGGGTCAACTTCAGATGGTCATAACTCTTAGCACAAAATGAATTATGTGTCCCATAACCTATGGTTAGATAGATAATTGAATTATCTTTCCAACTCCACCGAGTTTGCTAAATTCCGACCTCCGAGTAAAAAGTTATGCTTGTTTTAGTGAAGCCCTGTCGGGCAGACTCGAACTACGGACCCAATCTACGGACCGTAGATTGACCTACGGCCCGTAGGTCCATTCCGTAGATCACTCCGACAGCAGTTAATTCAGGGGTCCTTTGGTCTTTTCCTATTTCGTTTAACCCCTAAGATACGTCGTTTAGACCCTAAATCATGAGGTTTTAATTAGTTTAAACCTAGAAACATAACTAGAACTTACCTAAGTCAATTCATTAAATCAAAACTTAGAAAATTAGAAGCTAGAGAGGAGAAAAAGGTCAAGAACCCTAGTTCAAGAACGCAGCAAGGTTCCTTCAGTTCCAGCCCCGAAATCGAAAGATTTCTCCGTGAAATTCGTCACCAGGTATGTGGGATTTCACTAGTGGGTTCCTTTCGCCCATTAGGTCCCTAGAATTCAGTCAGATTCTTGATTCCATGATTATGAACAGACTTAGGGTTTCTTGAATTTGAACAGATCATCATGAATTAGTTATTTAAATGTTCCAAATCAGATTATCATGTTATTGCTCAGTTTATCGCATGAATTTCAGAACCCTAGCTATGTATTTCTTTAGTTCTTGAATTACACATGCTAGGTCAGATATTTCAGTATTCAGTTTTACATGTCTCAGTTTATGAATGCATCATTATCAGATTAATTGTTGCATTCTCAGTTTGCATGTTCAGTTCGAGCTATCCAGTATTTACAGAAATTCAGTCATAACCAGTTAACTACTTAATTCATTGGGAGTAGCATAATACCGAGTTGGACTAGGGTTTCAGCGTACCCATATAGTCCCAGAACTACGAGCCACGTAGGTGTAAGTCCCCTCTGTGGGCAACATCAGTTTAGTGATCACGCCAGTATGCCTCTATACCTCTGGCAGGGTATAGTGGGTCCTCTCGATGGGGCGTATACATCGGACTCCACATTTAGCTCATGTGGTTTTATGTCGGTTATTAGTAGCTCCCACAGTTCAGTCAGACTCTATTGCATTGACCATATTTCAGTACAGTCAGTATTCAGTCTCAGCATGTTATAAATTTGGTCATTGCATTCAGTTAGCTCAGTATTCAGTATTTCAGTATCTATATCATGTTCAGATTATTTCATTGCTTTATTGCTTTGTTCAGTTATATGTTCTTTCAGCTTTACTCCATCCTGCATGCTCAGTACCTTTCAAGTACTGACGCATACGTGCGCTACATCTTCTCGTGATGTAGGTTCAGGTTCTCAGCATCCAGATCACGCTTAGATCGATTCCCGATCTTCAGTTCAGCAGAATCAGTTGGTGAGTCCTCATTCTTCGGGGACAATAGTCATGAGTTTCTTTTCAGTGTTTTAGTCTTTTAGTTTCAGTTTTGCTAGATCTAGTTGGGGCATGTCCCAACATTTCTAGTCAGTTTAGAGGCTTATTTCAGACATAGTTAGATTCAGCTTAGTGTTTTGAGTTTGATATTTTTTTTGTATTAAACTCTCAGATTTGATATATTCAGTTATAGTATATGGGTATTCCCCATCTTTTCAGATTTATTTATGAATTAGTTTCCGCATCAGTTTATTATCTTTAGTATGCTCATGATCATGTCAGCAGGGTTAGCTTGGGATCACTTGTGGTCCTAGGTCCCGTGTCCGCGTCTTGGGGGTAGCTTGGGGCGTGACACTGTAGATGTTGGTTCAATTGTTGAATGGACATATAGCGATGGTAAAATATACACATTTCCCCTCTCTCTACATATGAATGAATTTTTTACATTTAGGTGTGTCTTATATTGTGAAAGTCCATTTCCAATTGGATATTTTTAGTAAAAAAGTTTTTGATGGTCATATTTACTTGCTCCAAAAGCTTATGTACTTTATAAGTTTTAACGGGTAACTTCTGTCTTTTATCTCTTATATTTTCGATTTTATTGATTGTAGATGGAAAAGATAAGATGTCAAAGCAAGTGATTGAAGCCGTCGATCATGAAACTAAAACAATCACTTGGAAAGTGATTGGTGGAGATCTATTAGAGTTGTACGATTCCTTCACTATTATCACATCATGTGACCATCATTGGACTACATGGACGTTTTTGTACGAGAAGAAAACTGAAGACACACCAGAGCCTCTCGTTCTCCTGGCTTATGTCCTTCATGTGACAAAAGAAATCGAGAATCACCTCCTTAAGTAATAAAACATCGATGCTATTCAATGGCTCATAGCCATATTTATACATATGCAAAGTATGTATATATATATATATATATATATATGTATGTGTGTTTTTGTGTGTGATACTGGCTAGCTAGTTCTATCTAGCTAGCTATAGTGTGTGAAATAAATAACATTTTGTTTAAAGAATATATTTCTTACTCCTTCTGTCTCTATGTGGCACTTTTCATTTTTCGAGAGTCAAATAGTTTAAGTTTGAAATTTACGCATGAAATCTTCAATTTTTTTGAAATGAAATTTATATATTTGTAAACTAAAAAGTACTATAAGTCACAATAATTAATAATTCAAAATGTTTAAAAAATCTATGAAAAACGTACGGTCAAAGTTATACTTGATTGAATCTCGAAATCCGAAAAGTGACACATAGAATGAGACGGAGGGAGTATGTTACTTTCCTTCTAGGGATGTATTTTCAATGTTCAAAATATGGAAAAAATCGATTGAATTAATTATTTTTTTGATTTTTCGATTTATTCGGTTGGTTTGTGATTTATTTTTTTTGAAAAAGTTTGATTTTCAATTCAGTGATTGTTTCTTGGCTGCCTGCTTATGATTGTTGTTAACCCATATTTTTTCAGGTTTAAAAATGGATATAGCACTGTAATGACCCGAAAAATGTTTTTTTTAGAAATTCCATAAAATTACCATTTTATCCCTCCCGATAGTTTTCCTGAATTATTTCTAATCAGTCCGTGAAGTTGGTTTGAGAATTTTAAACTATTCATTTAACTGTGGTAATTAATTATGAGTAATCTTAAATAATTTATTTTAATTGGTGGTTAATGGGTCAAATTCATAATTTGATTATTAGCCTATATCACTTGACCCATGTAATAATAATAATAATTAAAGGAAGAGGGTTAATATTATTTGGTCATACCTCAAACTGCAGGTAAAGCTTAATTAAGTTCCAATTTAGTTTTATGCATGTTGTGTATTGGGTGGGCATTCTTTAATAATATTGTATGGTATGTGTTACTTGGAGGATAGAGATTTTATAGATGGGTGTAGAAGCAACATTGAATATTTCAATTTGCTGTTGTTAGTTGTTAACACAACGTGGGTTCTTAAGGTTTTTTTGTTGACAAGTTAGTGGTGAAATAATTGTCAGTTAGGAAAAATTTATCGTTGGCAAAGTAAGACTTGCATAATTGCTTTCTGTGTAGTTCCATTGTTAAGGTTATCGATTTTTAGGTTTATTTTTATAAATTGAGAAATATTTGTTTTCCAACCTAGACTTTGTTCCATTATTAGTTGTATATTATTGGTGAAAAGGAATGAAAGTTGAAATTTAATGCAATTTTGTGTTTAAAAGTTTATGGGACAAATTGTAGTGGTGGAAGTTGATTTTTAAGGTCACTAATTAAGGTAATGATAGCTTAATCATTGGTAGTAATTTTGGATTCCAACGTGCTGATGGTGTTGAGTTCTTAGTAGTAAGGTTTGTCCTTCTTTTCGTGCTCCAAGTTACAGATGACGAATTTGGTTTAGATTTTGTATTTTCTTATAGTCATTACATGGTGATTTAAGTTTTGGTAAATTGGTTTATGTAACTACATATTAGGTATATTGTATTACATGAAGACCATTAGATTTATGATCTTGGAGAAATTGAAATTTAAAGCTAGACTTGAAACTTGGAAAATATGATAGTTGACATGCTAATTGGCATCAAGACTAAGAACTTAATTATAAATTTGGGTGAGTTTTTGGGTCTGGTAACATAGGTATTGTTAGTTCCAAAATCTTACTATGGTTATTTATTTAAATAGATTGTAAAGATTTGGAAGTCAACCGAAATATTGTTGTCCAACAATATTTGCTAATAAATACTACTCTATTTATCATCTAACACATTTTTCGAAATATTAAACTTAATAAAGTTAAAAGATAAAATAATAATATTACGTCTATTATTTATTATTTTTTAAGGAATGCCAAGTTAATAGTAAACCACTGTTATTAGGCAAGGAGATTAATATGGATAGGTTAGTATGTTAATCAAGACATAAATAAAGTGGTTTTTTTCTTTTAAATAAAAGTGGGGGCTGTGAGTGAGATTGTCCAAACTTTAATTATTGTATTGGGAAGTGATACTTGGATTGACTATTCCTAGAACTAGCATAGTGTTTTTCATATTTGTCATTCAAATATTAATGCTCCTCATTTTAAAATATTTTTCAAGTACATAATATAGGGCAAGCCAACATGCATATATATAGTCAATGTTTATTATGGACAGTGCAACCCAAAACATATTAATTGCCCAACTATTTTATATTATGTTCTACTAGTACATTTGCTATTGGCAAGTCATTTGGTCCATAAGATTCCTTTCAACACAACTTTTATTATTTTAAAATAAGAATCAACTTTTCTATATTATATTTCAATATATATAGTTCTAACAAATTAATAAATAGTTTTCTTTCTTTTGAGATTGGAAGGCTCAATTAATGCATAGTTGAGAGCTAGCAAGAATGTGTTCGAGTCAATCAAGTAATTATAATACACAATTTTCTTATAACTTATACTTTCTCTTTTTCACTTTTATTTGTTCACTTTAAATTTTACACTTTTTTTAAGAAATGATATTAATTATAACACTTATATTGATTGAGGTATAATCTTATGTCTTGAGAAATGAGTAATTAATATTAAGAGTAAAATGTGAATAAATATATTTTACTCTTGATATACGAAGAATGACAAGTAAAAACAAACATCTATTTTTAGTATAAATGACAAATAAAAATAAACAAATAAAAACATAGAGTATATTAGGTATGCAACATTTTAAATTACAAAATAAAATACAAAATTAATTTCATAAATAAATAACTTACCATATAATAAATATCAAACATAATATTACTTAGGGAAAAGGACAAATATACCCCTGAACTATCGTAAATGGTATGCAGATACCTTCCGTTATACTTTTGGGACATTGGTGCCCCTACCGTCCAAAAACTAAAGTATATGTGCCCTTCACTGTAACGGAAGACTAAATAGGGACACGTGACACAATCTTATCCGTCAATTCGATATTTAAAAAATGTCGGGTCGGTGGATAAGATTATTACACATGTATGTCCGTTAGTATAAAGGATATATATGCGCTAGTTTTTGGATTGCAGGGGCACCAATGTCCCAAAAGTATAACGGAAGGTATCTGCATACCGTTATGTGAGTTCTCTTACCGAAATAGTTATCAATGCAATATTAATATGACACAATTTGAGGCACTGTATGAAAGGGAATGCAGATTGTTCATAGGGTGGTTTGAGGCTAGTGATGTGGAACCTTTGGGTGTTGATTTGGTTAGGAAAGCCTAGGAAATGGTGATGGGAAATCAAGCTAAGTTATTGACAGCCTATAGTAGGCAGTATGTGGACCACATGGTAAGAGACATAACCTTTCAGGTTGGGGAACAAGAATTGTTTAATGTGTCACCCATTCAAGGAGTGATGCGGTTTAGTAAGAGGGACAAGCTTATCCCTCACTATATTGGTCCATTTGAGATTCTTGACCGTGTGGGGGCTAATGGATTACAGGTTAGCACTACCTCCCAACTTGACTGGAGTTCATTTGATGTTTCATGTGTCTATGCTAAAGATATACCATAGGGATAAATATTATATCATCAAGTGAGATTTAATAGTGTTGGACAAGGACTTGTAGTATGAAGAGAAATCGATTGTGATTCTTGATCGGTATGTCCGTAAGTTTGGATAAAATAAATCAGATCAGTAAAGGTCATATGGAAACATCATCTACTTCGGAGACCGCGAGAGACGTGCGAGGCAAGTACCTTCACTTGTTCGATGATTCATGTACTATACTTTTTTCTATTTTAACCTAGTTTTTCTTGTTTGATCACCTGGGAACGAGTGATGGGATAAACTGGTATTTGTTGTAACGACTTATTTTGATCGTTATGACTAGGTCAATGGTGAATGAAATCGGGCAAGAAAACTTTTCATTAGAGACCTAAAAATTCTAGGCTAGACCAGTTCAGACGAAATTCGAGCGAGGCGAAGTCTAGGGCCATCCGAGAATGGATGAGGCAAAATGTCTAGGCTTGATTTATAACTAAGAACCCGTAGGACATTATTACAAAATTGATTTTGGGTGAGTAAAACTCCTAGAATCAAACTTGGCATGAAAGAGATATAAGGGAGAAAGGTATGTCGAAAAATGGACTTTTTAGGAATTTTTGAGTCTCTAAAGTTATTAATCCGCTATAGCGGGCGGTAGGCCACTATAATGGGAGAGTGCATGCGCTATGGCGGGGTGACAATTGCTATAGCGGGGTAAGTCAGGATTTTACGCAAAAAAAGTCTCAAAACCTTTTATTTTATGCATTAATGTTTTTGAGTTTGAGAGGAGAAAATTAGGGCAATTTCTACCCAATTTTTCATCAAATTCATCGGTAAAGGTAAGTTCATTACTCCCCGATCTTGAAATTTAGAATCTAGGGTATTTCTCTTGGGGGAGGATTTTGATTTGATTTAGTGGTGGGAAAAAGCCTAGGGTCTGGTAAAATGATCATGAATTGGCCCGAGCTGGATTTGGGTATAAGTTGGATATATTTCGGCCATTTTTGATTGATTGTTATTTTTATTTATTGCTTTAGACCAAGAACAAGCCATGGCATCGAGAAAAGGGAAGGCTCGGATTCTTTAGAGCATTGAGGCTTAATTTGAAATAGGTATATAGTTGTATGTTTTCAAGTTTATGGATGTACACATGTCTACCACTTTATAGTATCACTTGTGTAATGCATGTTGGGCAAGACATAGAAAAACATATGAAATATCATCATGTTGATAATCTCATGCAGTGAACCTTTTTACTTTACTTATGGTTTTAAGTGTTATTGTTCATTGTGATTGTGATTGTGATTGTTTATGATTGTTTGGGATTGCTGGTTGGCTCAGGTACCACACCGATATATGAATAATAATGGTTGGCTCAATACCATACCTTGTAAGAATATTAATTCTAGTTGACTCGAATACCATGCCGATACACTAACAATTTGTGTGTGGGTTTCTTGAGAGGACCAGGTATGTGTATTTGTGGTTCCACGATAGGGTGGGGTTCTTGTAATTGTAATCATGTGGGACATGTTCT